CATGGGGAACAAAACAACATAGGGAACAAAAACAATACCATTGGGGAACAAAAACAATAACATGGGGAACAAAATAACATGGGGAACAAAAAGAAAACCATGGGGAACAAAACAACATAGGGAACAAAACAACATGGGGAACAAAAACAATAACATGGGGGACAAAAACAATGACATGGGGAACAAAAACAATACCATTGGGGAACAAAAAGAATAACATGGGGAACAAAAACAATAAAATGGGGAACAAAACAACATGGGGAACAATAACATGGGGAACAAAACAACATGGGGAACAAAAACAATACCATTTGGGGAACAAAAACAATAACATGGGGAACAAAACAACATGGGGAACAAAAAGAATAACATGGGGAACAAAACAACATAGGGAACAAAAACAATGACATGGGGAACAAAAAGTATAGCATGGGGAACGAAACAACATGGGGAACAAAAAGAAAACCATGGGGAACGAAACAACATGGGGAACAGAAACAATAACATGGGGAACAAAACAACATAGGGAACAAAAACAATGACATGGGGAACAAAAAGTATAGCATGGGGAACAAAAACAATAACATGGGGAACAAAACAACATGGGGAACAAAAAGAAAACCATGGGGAACAGAAACAATAACATGGGGAACAAAACAACATGGGGAACAAAACAACATAGGGAACAAAACAACATGGGGAACAAAAACAATAACATGGGGAACAAAACAACATGGGGAACAAAAACAATAACATGGGGAACAAAAACAATACCATTGGGGAACAAAAAGAATAACATGGGGAACAAAACAATAACATGGGGAACAAAAAGAATAACATGGGGAACAAAACAACATGGGGAACAAAAAGAATAACATGGGGAACAAAACAACATAGGGAACAAAAACAATGACATAGGGAACAAAAAGTATAACATAGGGAACAAAAACAATAACACTGGGAACAAAACAACGTGGGGAACAAAAAGAAAACCATGGGGAACAAAACAACATGGGGAACAGAAACAGTAACATGGGGAGCAAAAAGAAAAACATGGGGAACAAAACAACATGGGGAACAAAAACAATGACATGGGGAGCAAAAACAATAACATGGGGAACAAAAACAACATAGGGAACAAAACAACATGGGGAACAAAAACAATGACATGGGGAACAGAACAACATGGGGAACAAAACAACATAGGGAACAAAACAACATGGGGAACAAAAACAATAACATGGGGAACAAAACAACATAGGGAACAAAAACAATGACATGGGGAACAAAAAAAACATGGTTTTTGTTTTTGATGTGGTTGTAGTTGATGGTGACAGATCAGTAATCGAAGAGGAATGTGCTGTACTTTTTATCCTACACTTCAGTGGAGGATTGTGTTTCAGCTCGCAAGGATGTGTTTAAACCTGTCTGACCTCTTTACTCTTTACACTCCAAACACAAAGCTGAAACTTTATCTGAGTCTCTCTGAGTCCAAGTCTGTAAACACCCTGCTCTGTCACACCAACACAAAATAATCAGTTTACTGTGATCAAGAAGGTTTTTACAGTTTATTCTGAGGGGAACATGAACGTCTCATTACATCACCAATCCTGACTGTGTGTGTGTGTGTGTGTGTGTGTGTGTGTGTGTGTGCACCCGTGTTTTTTACCTGGTTACAGCCCGTGTGCAGACCGTCACCATGAAGCAGCAGCCGACGATCACCCAGCCCCATCCTCCATCCAGAGGTGGCACCGTGCCGCTCCGCCGCTTCCCATCAACCATTGCTGCAGCTGCCAGCTGAAGCAGATGCCCCTGAGCCGGTCTCTGGTTCCGATATTAATCTTAAAGTTCAGGTCCCAAAAAACAGTCCTCCTCTGTCCTCGTCTGCTGCCAGCCGTCAGCTCTGATTCTCTGCAGAGGAAAAAGCTGATGGTATGTCAGGCGTCTGTTGTGTGTGGACCAGACTTAAAGCTCTGTGTCTCTGCAGTATGACTCCTCCATGTCAGGTGTCCAGGCGGAGTCAGGAGAGCTGAGAAGCTGAGGTAAGAAGAAGTAAAAAACTATTTAAGTTTAGGATGAGAAAGAAAAGATGGAGTCAGTCGCAGTGAAGAAAGAGTAAAGACTGGTAGAAGAACATCCTGTGTCCCCTCTGTCCTCTCTGTCCTCTCTGTCCTCTGGCTGTGAGATCAAACCCAGTAGAGACACAGTAGAGTGACAGTAGAGACTGTCTGTCTCTGACACTCCAGTTAAAAAGTGTCCTCAGTCAATAAGTGACCAGCAGACCCTCAATCATTAACTGACCTCTCTGTGTGAACTCTAGAGGTGATGAGATATTAACCAAGCGCACCCAGACGACCCCCCCACAGGACACAGCAGCGTTTGGTTTTTAAACCCCTTTATCCTCAGACATCCTCCAACCAAGCGCTCCCTCCTTTAGAGCATCAACAACATGTGCAGCTGTGACGGAGGGCGCTTCAGTCCCTGAACCTGAAACCCTCGACCCTCCCCCAGGAACAGGGAGGAGTGGGGGTGGGTCTGAGAGGCCTGCATCAGGTGTCAACAGGACGCATACCCAGACGAGCAGGTCTGACGGGACAGGATCTATGTCAAACAGTCCTCAGGGTTTATTTCTGTCCTGAAAGCTCCAGGGTCAGATACACCAGGACCAGGACCAAGCAGGGTCAGATACACCAGGACCAGATCCAAACTAGGTCAGATACACCAGGACTAGGTCCAAACAGGGTCAGGGCCAGGGCCAGGATCAAGCAGGGTCAGATACACCAGGACCAGATCCAAAATAGGTCAGATACACCAGGACTAGGTCCAAACAGGGTCAGGGCCAGGGCCAGGGTCAAGCAGGGTCAGATACACCAGGACCAGAGCCAGAGTCAAACGGGGTCAGATACACCAGGACCAGGGCCAGAGTCAAACGGGGTCAGATACACCAGGACCAGGTCCAAGCAGGGTCAGGACCAGAGATTTTTTTATTTCCGATTTCTGAGACTGAAAATATCTTAATACTTGAAAAACATGTACCCAGGTAACCATCAGACAGGACCAGACAGGAAGTTCATTCACAAAGGTAAAAAGAAACTGTGGCGCCCCCTTGTGGGCGCTGTTTAACACAAGACGGTGCCAGCTCCAAGATAATATCCAAATCCTAACTTTTATTCTATATATTCAAGTTTCTCTCTATATATTGGGTCATATAACATATGTATCCATATATGTTCTGTATTTTCAAACTTTCATTTTATGTATTTAAGTTTTATTCCATGTTTTCAAACTTTTCTTCTATATTATTATTCACTCCATATATTTAAATTCCATTCCATTTAATCAAACTTCACATTATAGCCTTTGAATTATTGATTTCTCACTCAATAAAACTACTAACTCTGCATTTAGTCCAGCTGAAGTGAATCAGTCATTTTATTCTATTTATATTAAAAATCAGTCTATATATTTATGTGTTTATATATATGACAAAATATAACATCAGACGTCCTTTCTCTTTGAAGTATGAAGGATCATTTTACTCAGAACTGACATTGTATTCTAGTTTACACACTTTGACTTTTCTACTTTCTATTTACTTTTCTGTTTTCTCTGTTTTCCAGTTTATTGTCACAAAATCTGTTTTATGATGTACTTTTACCCATCACCACACAATGTGTGTGTGTGTGTGTGTGTGTGTGTGTGCTTTTCTCACCGTGCCGCAGTCACTCTTCACTCTGATGGAAACAAACACAACTTCAGTCTGCAGATGTTTTCATGATCGAGACAGCCGAAGTGTCGCGGTAACTTTGAGGCTCCTCGCGGCTCCTTTCTCTCTTCATCTGTCTGTCCTACCGTTCCCCGATCGATCCATGTGATCAGTTTGTTGCAGCTTCACGTGCCGCGGAGAAGTTTTTCATCCTCAGAGAGACACGTGACTCACCCAGCCTCCTCCTCCTCCTCCTCCTCCTCCTCTTCCTCTTTAAACACTGAGTGGTGTTGATGCATGCCCACGTGAATCGAATAAAGCAAAATGACATATTTTGAGCCTCCCTAATTAGTTTTTGATTATAAACATTTAATAAGAAGTAATAACTGTGCTAATAAAAGCTTTATTTATACACCAATTTTCAAAACAAACAAAAATAATAATGAATAAAAGGTTTACAACACATGATAACAGAACGATAAAGCTGTGACAGTGTTTTGGCTGAGAGTTGGCCCCTGATGTGTTTCAGCCATTCATCCATCAGCTATCTATTTTAACTGTAATCCATTACTTTTAGTGAAGTAGTTCCAGTGTTCCCGTTAACTCACACCATTTCTCCATGAGTGAAACTGTGTGCATATGAAAATGTTCAAGAAAAGAGGAAAAACAACACTTCTGTAAATCATGCTGTTGTGATTATCCACATCCTGTTTATCTGCAGGACACACCCTGACTGGTCACATGTGACAGACGATGGTCAGGACATCTTGGAGGATATTAACTGTGTCAGACTGTTTCCTAGGGGCATTCTGGTACAACTATTTCCCGTCGTAAAATACAATCTAACTTCTGTGGTACCAGTGCCTCATGCTCCTGCGGTGCTGTGCCAAATGCTGCTGTAATACATTCTTGTGGTTTGTTTGGTATTTTGGGATGTTTACCACATATATATATATACATATATATATGTATGTATGTACAATACATTCTGCCCCAAACCACAGTTAAATCACTCCACAATCAGAAACCGTGGATTACCAGAACCATCTGAGAGGCCATTAACAAAGACGCTGTGCCTTACAACTTAGCACTGCAGTCTGGAAACAATTACAAAGCAGCAGCGCACAATGTGCATTACATTGAGTGTTGTGTTGTGTTGTTATTGTTACTGTTGTTGTGGTTGTTGTTAATGTGATTGTAATGTATAAAGTACAGTGTTTGGGGTGGACTCCAGGAAGAATAGCTGTGGCTTTGGTCACAGCTAATGGAGATCCGAATAAATTATTGAATGAATGTAGTAGGAGCAGTAATGGAGGCAGGACTATGGGAAGACAGTGGGAGAATTCCAGAAGGGCCATCCAAGAAGAGTTTTACTGTCAGTAAACAGTATGATATTTTTGGTGGGTGGGGCTTAGCTAGAGGAAAAACAATAGGCCCTTTTAGGGCCGACGTCACAATTACGTCATTTTATCATCTGGAAGTAAAGCTGCCTCTCCCCCACAGGGCTGTAGGCTATGTAGGAGTCTTAAAATGTGTTTGTCTTGTTGTGTTATTGGGAGCCAGAATAGAAAGCGTCATGTCTCAAAATCAGCCGCCACTGCCCGTCAACAAAAACAAAGACAGCTATGGTTAAATGTGATAAGACCAAAGGACTGGACGGAGGCCATCATCACAAATGCTCACATGTGCAGCGCACACTTCATGCATGTCACTATCTGGGCTCTACTGCATGTTTCTAACTCTGCTCTACTGCATGTCACTACCTGGGCTCTACTGCATGTCACTACCTGGGCTCTACTGCATGTCACTACCTGGGCTCTACTGCATGTCACTACCTGGGCTCTACTGCATGTCACTATCTGGGCTCTACTGTATGTTTCTATCTGGGCTCTACTGCATGTCACTACCTGGGCTCTACTGCATGTCACTATCTGGGCTCTACTGTATGTTTCTATCTGGGCTCTACTGTATGTTTCTATCTGGGCTCTACTGCATGTTTCTAACTCTGCTCTACTGCATGTCACTATCTGGGCTCTACTGCATGTCACTCTCTGGGCTCTACTGCATGTTTCTAACTGGGCTCTACTGCATGTTTCTAACTGGGCTCTACTGCATGTTTCTAACTCTGCTCTACTGCATGTCACTATCTGGGCTCTACTGCATGTTTCTAACTGGGCTCTACTGCATGTCACTCTCTGGGCTCTACTGCATGTTTCTAACTGGGCTCTACTGCATGTTTCTAACTGGGCTCTACTGCATGTTTCTAACTCTGCTCTACTGCATGTCACTATCTGGGCTCTACTGCATGTTTCTAACTGGGCTCTACTGCATGTCACTCTCTGGGCTCTACTGCATGTTTCTAACTGGGCTCTACTGCATGTTTCTAACTGGGCTCTACTGCATGTTTCTAACTCTGCTCTACTGCATGTCACTATCTGGGCTCTACTGCATGTTTCTAACTGGGCTCTACTGCATGTCACTCTCTGGGCTCTACTGCATGTTTCTAACTGGGCTCTACTGCATGTTTCTAACTGGGCTCTACTGCATGTTTCTAACTCTGCTCTACTGCATGTCACTATCTGGGCTCTACTGCATGTCACTATCTGGGCTCTACTGCATGTTTCTAACTGGGCTCTACTGCATGTTTCTAACTGGGCTCTACTGCATGTTTCTAACTGGGCTCTACTGCATGTTTCTAACTGGGCTCTACTGCATGTTTCTAACTGGGCTCTACTGCATGTTTCTAACTGGGCTCTACTGCATGTTTCTAACTGGGCTCTACTGCATGTTTCTAACTGGGCTCTACTGCATGTTTCTAACTGGGCTCTACTGCATGTTTCTAACTGGGCTCTACTGCATGTTTCTAACTGGGCTCTACTGCATGTTTCTAACTGGGCTCTACTGCATGTTTCTAACTGGGCTCTACTGCATGTTTCTAACTGGGCTCTACTGCATGTTTCTAACTGGGCTCTACTGCATGTTTCTAACTGGGCTCTACTGCATGTTTCTAACTGGGCTCTACTGCATGTTTCTAACTGGGCTCTACTGCATGTTTCTAACTCTGCTCTACTGCATGTCACTATCTGGGCTCTACTGCATGTCACTATCTGGGCTCTACTGCATGTTTCTAACTGGGCTCTACTGCATGTTTCTAACTGGGCTCTACTGCATGTTTCTAACTGGGCTCTACTGCATGTTTCTAACTCTGCTCTACTGCATGTCACTATCTGGGCTCTACTGCATGTTTCTAACTCTGCTCTACTGCATGTCACTATCTGGGCTCTACTGCATGTTTCTAACTCTGCTCTACTGCATGTCACTATCTGGGCTCTACTGCATGTTTCTAACTCTGCTCTACTGCATGTCACTATCTGGGCTCTACTGCATGTTTCTAACTCTGCTCTACTGCATGTCACTATCTGGGCTCTACTGCATGTTTCTATCTGGGCTCTACTGCATGTTTCTAACTCTGCTCTACTGCATGTCACTATCTGGGCTCTACTGCATGTCACTAACTCGGCTTCTTCTCTGGAGCCTTTGTGCTCCACTATTTCGCAGGTTAACTCATATCACAGTGGTGCCTGGATAGTGTGACGTGTGTGGTTGTGCTACTGCCATGATCCTGCCAGATGCCTCCTGCTGCTGCTGTTATTAGTCACACTTCTACTGTTATTATACACATATGATTGTTGTATGACCATACCAGTATGATAATTC